TTCGACCGATATATGTTGTTTTGCCAGTTTTACACGTAAACTGCGAAAAACAAGTTAGGAGGCCTCGATTTGCCAAAAAAGACAAAAAGACCGAAACTACCAGTGGGGGGTCTCTAGATGCGACGGCTTTGTCGGTTCTCCTTCGCGATTGGGGTCCCTCTTTAGCTTACCTACGCTAGAAAAATACGGTGAATATGGTGGTAAAAAAATTACACGAAATGGAAAATAAGAAATGGGTCATCAGAGAGAATTTTGAGTTTTGGCCACGGTGGCTCGACCGACTTTTGCCTGCAATTTCTAGTTCACCTCTTGCCCCTTTGATTCCGATATGGGCATGGAGAGACTCAGGATCGAATTCCGAGCGGGAACGAGAAAAAATTATATGTTTTAGCTTTGTTGGCGACTCCAGTGCGTCACTGACGACGGTCGATTTTTTTTTCGACCGCCCTTCTTCTTCTTCTCTAACGAAAATTGGTGCGGCTAGGGTTAGAGTTCCCTAAAACGTGATGTTTGAATACCTTTACCGAGTCGATATGGGTCATCGGATACACGTGACCATCTCCCCTTAGTTGGATCCTTCTTATTCAGGAAATGAATTGGATTGCGCATGATCGAATTAAATCTGATCATTCGATCGCACCTGAAGAAAAAATGCATCTGAGCCGTCTGTGCGCGCGTGATGCGATCTGAATAGTCGGATCGCCCAGGCACACGGATTGCCCATGTGGAGCCGATGTCAGCGTCTCCATCACGCGGCGTGTTCTGGTTCGCCGTGGTTGCTGACGTGGCCGTCCCACGTTATCATATTTTCTCTTTTTGCGATTTCACCGTATGTTTTCAAATTTTATTTTAAAAACACCAAATTTATTCAAATTTCACCATTTTTTCTCATAATTATTTTTAATTTCAATTATAATTTATTTTTTTTCAAATTTTTTTAATAAAAATTAAATTAAAATAAAATTTATTTATATATATATATATTCTATAAGTTGGAAAAATTATTCTAGATCAATTTTAGAGGTCGGGGTGTTACAAAAACTGATTCAAACACGTGGACAAGTACTATAAGTGATATATATATATATATATATATGTATGTATGGATTTGTGTGTGTGTGTATACATATATATCTATACACTTTTATTTAATTGTAGCGGTACACGTACGTCTTCTTCCTCCGGCATTTTCAGCGTTCGTGTCCCAGATGGATGTAATACTTGCTCCATGAGTTTGAGCTGATAAAAAGAAAAAGACACTGCACTTTAAACATAATCTTATATATATATATATATATATATACATGTATATAGGAACACATAATTAGTATCTTAGTTATATACGGAACTCGTTATAATCTCTCATCTAAGAATTAACAGGAATAATTTTGTTTAAGAGACACAATTATACATGCATGTACGTACATGACACGACATGCATGCCCTCTATTCATTTAGTTATAATATATTTCAGTTTACACATATACATATATATATGCATTATTGAGGCTGATATGAATGTGACAGACAAAATAATGAAGTATATTTGTTAATTGAATAATTTATTTTGAATTTTGATGAATGAAAGAGAGATTGATTTTTAAGAGCTGTCAGTCCCTAACATATCTTGAATGTTATGATTTAGAGTGTGGATAATTATATATACACATATAACGATTAAATAATATAATAATTAAAAAAACTGATTACTTTCAAGTATATAGTCTACTATTTACATATTATATATGAAGAGCAGACAGAATGTTTAGTTAAACGCTGACAAAATTTATTTTATTTAGCAAATATAATTTTATATATTTATTTATTAATAACCTGATATAAAATTTAAACGAGTCAGTATAACTTCACAGAACAAAATTGTTATAAAAATATAATTTTATGCGGACGTATATAATTAGATAAAATAATTTAAAGAATTCTTGGTTTCAAAAAATATTTTCAAAATAAAATTAGCACTTTCGGGTTGGGTAATTTTAATATTACAATCTTTCTTCTTCTTCTTTTAAAATTTATTCAAAATAAAATTTTATATTTTTTTTTTATCCTAAATATTTGAATACATTGATATTTTTATTTCGGAACAAAATAATTTGATTTTATTATATTTTGATCACCATGTGTGAATTTATATGTAAGTTTATTGTACATAAATAACGATCAATTTAATTAAATATTTTAATGCATTAAATAAAATATGAATTTTTTATACGTAGAGATCAAAAATATTATTAATTAAATTAAAAATAATAAAAATTTATGAATCATATTTTTTCTATTATGTTATTTTGTTATAAAAAATAAAGAGCGTGTGAGAACTCTAAAAAATTACGTATTAATTTAAAAAATTTATTAAAGAACTTACAACTTTTTTCTATTATAAATTCATGTATATTTTTATTTTCATATCTATATATATATATATATGAACATGACTTAAATTCAGATCTAATTTATTTCTAAAAGTCCTACATGTTTATGTAATTAACATTAAAGGAAAAAAAAAAAGGAGTTTGTATTCACCCATAGATTTATATATATACACACAGAGACAAATATATAATAATAATCATTTACAAAAAAAAAAAAAGTTAGAAGGAGATCATTCTTTCGAAGACCAGTACCTCCCATCTGCATTGCGTTTGGCATGCAGGGCCCACATGTTCGCGTTTGTACATATATATATATATATATATATATATGGAGAATCATGATATCCGTATATAGACCAAATTTTTAGAGTTTGGGATTTTTTTAGTTTTTTTTTTTTTTTTTTTTGTTTCCTTTCGTTTAAATTAAAATTAAATTATAATACATGATTATTGCGAAAAGTAAATCAGTGAGAAATTTTATCAAAAAATTATAAAAATGAAAATTAATTTTTATCATGAAATCTGTTGACTCATATATGTTTTTTAAAAACACTTTATTATTTTTTAATAATTAATAAATTAACATTAGAAATACTTTAAAGTTAAGATATTCACCCGATAATTACAATATATATATATATATTATATATATATATGTGTGTGTGTGTGTGTGTGTGTACATCTCAATCTCAGTTAATGATCTCTCGTACACTCGAGAGTTTGTTTGTTGTAAGGTTTTCATTTTGGATCATTAAAGAGAATATATAATTATGCATATTACATGAATAAAATTAAAAAGATCAGACGAGTATTTATATCTTAATTAATTATGTCGGTAATTAAATTAGTGGCGTAATTATGACCTCCTCAGACATTAGTACTACTTACAAGTTAGCCGTTAAGGTTAATAGAAATGATTAACTCAACAAAACCCGAATTAATGAAAGAATTTTTTATTTATTTAAGATTAAATTAAATTAGTGGATTGAAGGTCTTATTTATATGACCGGAAAGTACATGATAGACAAATGTTTTGTCCAAAACTAAATTAATAATATAAACAACAATAATTATTTATGTAAACCAAATGCATAATTATTATTATTTTTTCTGTTTTATTTAATTATTGATTTATTTCAGATAAATAACAAGGAATTTCAATTTGACTTGGGAGGACATCCTCAGAAATTCTGTATATTCTAAAAGGACACATTTTGTTACTCCACAGAGTAAATTTAAAAATGATAAAAATGTGCGATTGAGAAATTAATTTTCTTAATAAAAAAAATATTAAAAAAAAAAAAAAGGAACAAAATTAGGATTATAATCGGTGAAATCATTGAAAGGATTGTGTTAGAGGTGTGGTCCTGAGCTTCTTCTTCACTTGGCTTTCACATGGAGGGGTCACTGCACTGTTCCCTTGACCTTATTCGGACTCAACAACTCATCAGGGATTCATCGTCTCCTTCCTGCTAGCCTACCAAAAAATCTCTCACCTTCAACCCCACCTCCCTCTTCCTCCCTAACGTGACACTTATCATACACATCCTTCTTTTATAATCCCTCCAAAACTCATAACACCCTTCTTTCTATCTCTATCATTCTTATACACCACCTTCCTTTTCTTCCTCCCATGGTGCTTCTTCCACTCTTCTACCCATGTCTCTGCCCAATTTCCACTTCTCTCTTCCAAGGTCTACCCTTTTTTTTTTTTTTTTTTTTTTTTTTTTTTTGTTTTCACATACTATGATTGTAAAACAGATAAAATATATGGGTTTATTCTGTTTCAAGAATAATAAAATAACAGAAAAAGGTTTCTGGGGTCATGGGTTTTTGTAGCTGAATGTGAATGAAAAAGATTGTTGCTTTATTTTATTTCTTATCATCGTTATTCTTTTGATTAAACTATTATTAGTTTCTTTACGCAGGTGGATTGGACTGTTCCAGTGCGGAAATATTCAGAAAGAAAGAGGCGAAAACAACGATGGCAGCAGCGATGATAATCCCATTTCCACCTCCATCGAGTGCTACGCCTGCACCCAGGTTGGCGTTCCCGTTTTCCATTCCACTAGCTGCGACCAGGCTAACCAGCCCGAATGGGAGGCCTCTGCTGGCTCATCCTTAGTGCCCATCAAGGCTCGATTCTCTGGTTCTACTCGGAAGAGCCCCGCTCGAACCCAGGGTGGTCGCCGGCTCCGGGGACCATTCGGGACCGTGCTGGACCCGCGGAGCAAACGCGTGCAACGGTGGAACCGCGCGTTCCTGCTGGCTCGAGGGATGGCTCTGGCCGTCGACCCGTTATTCTTCTATGCACTATCGATCGGGCGAGGTGGGTCCCCCTGCCTCTACATGGACGGAGGGCTGGCGGCCCTCGTGACGGTGCTTCGGACGTGCTTTGACGCCGTTCACCTCTGCCATCTTTGGCTGCAGTTCAAGCTGGCGTACGTGTCAAGAGAATCGCTCGTGGTGGGGTGCGGAAAGCTCGTGTGGGACGCACGTGCCATCGCTTCCCACTACGTCAGGTCCCTTAAAGGTTTCTGGTTCGATGCCTTCGTGATCCTCCCGGTTCCCCAGGTTCGCGATCCTCGAAATCTTGAAACTTCTAGTTGTATCAGTATTTTCCTTTTACTAATCACCACCGCTGTTAATAATTAAGAAAAAGAATGTCCAATCATGTCCTGCCACGTCATGTTTCAATGAGAAGGTGATGAAGATGCAGCCTGGTGTGGATTGACGTGGTTGATGAATGAGCCGTGTTGAGTTGACAAATGCTTACTTAGCTTTTCTGTCTCTATATGTGGATTGATAATCATGCAGTGTACTGGGTAGTGATGCAATAGTTTCCTAACTTTCTATCATTTTGTTCTCTCTTTTGGTTTGTTAGGCTTTTTCTTGTTTTGCTATATGCATTATGATGATATATCTCTAGCTGTTACATGAGATGTGTTTTCCAGAAATTGGCAATGATTTATAGAACAAGGGAAAAAGTAAAGAAGGGATCATTAGTTCAGAATTAATTTTGGGAATGCCCAGAAAACGGTGAATGATACGGAGTGGGTGCCACAAAACCCCACCCATCAAATATGTGTTTGTCATTTCCTCTTTCTGTTTTTGTTTGAAGTGTGGATGGGTATGTCAAGCAATGGCATTATGGGATTAGAACTAGTAACTCACCTTTAGAAAGCTTTAGCGTAAATTTACCCAAGTGAAATTTGAAGCCGGTATTGTTCAATTTCCTGGTAACTATTTTTATTACTTTCAGCTGTAACTGGGCATGAGTGCATGCATAGAAAGAGAGAGAAGCAAACAAAAATAACTTGGCCTTTCATTGTGTCCCTCTTGTGTTCTTGGGTGTCACTTCCAATTTCTAGTTTTTGCTCATGCTTTCTTCTTTCTCTTCTTTTGCAGGCTGTGTTCTGGTTAGTTGTGCCAAAATTGATCAGAGAAGAGAAGATTAAGCTGATAATGACGATTCTCCTGTTGATCTTCTTGTTCCAGTTCCTCCCCAAGGTTTATCACAGCATTTGCTTGATGAGAAGAATGCAAAAAGTAACAGGCTATATCTTCGGCACAATTTGGTGGGGCTTTGGCCTTAATCTCATCGCCTATTTTATTGCCTCTCATGTAAGCCTATCTTACTTCCTATATGACCAAATTTATGGGATCTTGTTATACCTACTTCCGAAAATAAGAGCTTTTCGCTGGATTTTCTGTACATACTCATTCTGCAGGTTGCTGGAGGATGCTGGTATGTCCTTGCAATACAGCGTGTAGCCTCGTGCCTTAGGCAACAATGTGAAAGGACTGCAAGGTGCAATCTATCTTTGTCGTGCTCGGAGGAGGTTTGTTATCAGTTCTTGTTACCTGACGACACAGTTGGAAATCCTTGTGGTGGTAACTCAACTGCAACATTTAGAAAGCCATTATGCTTAGATGTGAATGGACCATTCCGTTATGGGATCTATCAGTGGGCTCTTCCTGTTGTCTCTAGCAATTCAATTGCTGTTAAAGTCCTTTATCCCATTTTTTGGGGCTTGATGACCCTCAGGTAAATGATAGAACAATTTATCAGAGTTCTTAGAGTTCTAACAAGATTTTTTTTTTTTTTTGTTTTCGTTAAAATTAAGTATGCATATCTCTTGCAACATTTATGTCCTAATAACTCAAATCTTTAAGTAACTTATTTTTCGGATGGACCTTCTCAATTGCCAATGAGTATAGTAGCTGCAAAGCATAGATGTAACTTTTGCATCATTTTGGGACAGCTTGTCCTTCACCTCTCTAGAATGTTTGTCATTCAGCCAGCCATAAAGAAAAAACTGCTAGGAGAGTCAGTTTTGGAGTCTTCAAGCTCCTACGTTCTAGCAGTTGCATTTTAATGTAACCTAATAATTTTCTAATTGCAAGCAGAGAAAGTGAAGTAGCGGAATTATTTTTGTCTCCATTTTACAGTTCAACCTGTAACTAATGGATCCATCATCAGATAAAGGAAAAAGACATTTTAGCTATTTTTTGAGAAGATAAATGTATATTACGCCATAAATGATATCAGAAAAGAAGGAAGTGTTCAATTTTAAATTAACAAAGACTGATAGTAATTTCTGGTTGGAATTTCCCAAAGAAACACTTATCTGTTATTTAAGTAAATTTTAATACAATTCTTTTGTTTGCAGCACCTTTGGCAATGATCTTGAACCCACAAGTCACTGGCTAGAAGTGATATTCAGTATATGCATTGTACTAAGTGGTTTGTTGCTGTTCACTTTATTGATTGGTAACATTCAGGTGAGTTTTATTTCATTTTAGGATAGTTTTTCCATTGATGCTGGATGATGAATCTAAATTATGCGATCTCCACACTGTGAAGGTGTTTTTGCATGCTGTCATGGCAAAGAAGAGGAGAATGCAGCTGAGATGTCGAGACATGGAATGGTGGATGAAGCGTAGACAGTTGCCTTCCCGTTTGAGGCAGAGAGTTCGCCATTTTGAACGCCAGAGATGGGCAACCATGGGAGGTGAAGATGAGATGGAACTAATCAAAGACTTGCCTGAAGGGCTGAGGAGAGCCATTAAGCGCTACCTTTGCCTTGACCTTGTCAAAAAGGTAAAAGAAATGACAGTTTGCAAATGATAGATGACTTAAAATGATTTGCTGACAGGGGGAAAGCTGCCTAGTTAGATTACTTGAGTCTTCTAATTAATGCCAAATTCAAACTGAAGCCACAGTGGATCAGAAAGTATACCTGCCTAAACTTATTTTTAGCAACTTGGGAATATAATCATCTCTTCTGAAAAACCTTCACAAGTAGGTGTTATTTAACTTTTGGATTACTCTTATTCCCATTTTTCTTTTAGGTACCTCTGTTTCACAATTTGGATGATCTGATTCTTGACAACATTTGTGATCGGGTTAAGCCACTTGTCTTCTCTAAAGATGAAAAGGTGCAAGTTGGTACAAAACTTTTTATGACTCTCTTATTTAGTAGAATTGAAAAGGTGATTAGATTCTTTATTATGATGAGACAGATAATTAGAGAAGGAGATCCCGTGCAAAGGATGGTGTTTATCGTCCGAGGTCGCATAAGACGTAGCCAAAGCCTTAGCAAAGGGATGATTGCCACAAGTGTGCTGGAGCCAGGAGGGTTTTTGGGTGATGAACTGCTGTCCTGGTGCCTTCGCCGCCCATTCATAGACCGCCTTCCAGCCTCATCTGCAACATTTGTCTGTATAGAAGCCATAGAAGCATTTGGTCTTGATGCAAACCATCTTAGGTACATAACAGATCACTTCCGCTACAAATTTGCGAACGAGAGGCTTAAGCGAACAGCAAGATACTACTCATCCAACTGGCGAACATGGGCATCTGTAAATATACAACTTGCTTGGCGTCGGTACAGGACGAGGACTAGAGGTCCAATAAGTCCTGTTGTGGAACATGGAAGCAGCAACGAGCGCCGGCTGCTACAGTATGCTGCAATGTTCATGTCAATCAGGCCACATGATCACCTTGAATAAAAGCTATATGGAAGTATTTGGGTCAGTGTTCTCTGCTGCCCCATTGTGGAATAAATGTTAATTGTTTCCCTAAGCACAGAATTATTCACCATGGAGATCATGGAAGTATCTGTTGTAGAATATGAGAATATTGGATGGAGCTTAATTCTTTGGAAGAGAATAAATAAATTTGTTTTCTTGCTTCAATTCAGACTTGCAAGTTCTTTAATTTCTATCCTCCTATGACATAACAAACAGAAATTAACCCTAGGCAAACAGAAAGTAACCCTAGGCAAAATTCAATTGCAAATCTTGCGTAGAACATGCATTGTGTAGGAATATGAATAGATTCTCACGCATTATACATACAAGTATATTAAAATTCTAATAACTGATTCTATTAGAATTAGGAGAACTAAGATATAAATTTATACGATGATAAATTGTCTTAGAATAATTTTCTATATATATCTGGAAGCTAGCTGGCTAACATTTATAGTTGAACTGATTATTACTGAGCCCTTTTATAAAAAATGCTTGCTAAAATTGATCTCGGCTCAAGACTTTGGCATATTTGAGAGTTCAGAGTTTAATGTAGTAGAGAATGATGCAGAACCACCAGAACTCACAGCTAATCCATCGTTGGCTCGGATGAAGAAACAAGAAGAGGATGTTGCAAGAAAACATACATTCAGCCTTATCAAATGTTATTTTCACTTGAAGCATGAATGTGAAACACCTAAAGAGGCATGGAACAAGTTGAAGGGTGAGTTTGAAGGCCATGAGAGGGTAAAGGCTATCAAACTCTTGACTCTTAAGCCAGAGTTTGAACTGCTAAGGATGGCGAATGGTGAAAATGTGGAGAAGTTTGCCTCAAAGCTCCTGGAACTTTTGAATAAAATTAGATTGTTTAGTGAAGCAAGTTTAGTGATCAAAAGGTTGTAGAGAAGATGCTTATCAGCCTAACAGCTAGATTTGAATCCAGAATTTCGGCAGTTGTAGAATCGTGTGATTTAAAAGATCTCTCAGTTGCTGAACTTGTTAGCAAAATGCGAAGGACCCACATGAGAGATTGAAGCTGTATCAGAGGGAGTCTTCCAAGTAAGGCAGAAATGGAAGCCATATGGTTATCAGTTTTAATAGAGAGAAAATCCTTTATAGGTAAAAAAGGAAGTTTAAAGCTATCTATTTGAAAATAGAAAATTAAAAAACTCTTATATAGATGGAAGAAAAAAAATAAAAGAGATGTATGAATTTTTTTTTTTTATAAAAAGTAAAAAAATTATTTAATACTTAATTGAATAGTTGGTGTATCGTTTCTTCTATATAAAGTTGTAAGTCTGAATATAATGTATTTTCATGAATAATTATTTAGAAGTTATTCATATTATATTATAACTGATGTATACATATTATGTACTTAATTAATGTATAAATTTATTAAAAAAATTAGAGAAAATGAGTTAATGGATTATTGATTGAGTAAACGTAAGTAAATATATTACAAAACCATACTTTACACTTAAAAAGTTACTTTTGTTGTATATATGTGTTAAACCAACTCATGCCTACAGTTATATATTATTATACATGCATATAATATGGGTTTGTACAAGTTGGAGAAACAACCAAATATATGTTAAACTATATATAGTACATATACAAGTATATAGTATACTAGAAATATGATAACAAGTTGTACTAAAATTAGAAGAAGTAAGATATAGTCTTCTTGTACAAGAACTAAAACTTTTAGAATCTTTATCCCTTTAGTCAATGTCCTGTAACAAGGCTTTGAAATTTCAGTTGAGTCCCGCCAATATCAGGAACCACGTATCCATATGCATATACATATAATTAAAAAAGTCAACGGTTATAAATACATATCTGGACTTTTGTTTATGTTAACTATTAAATCATAAATATATATAATAGGAAATGAGTTGAGGCCTTAATGGTGATCTTATAGGAAAGTGTTTGAAGGGGGCAAAGAGAGGGAGATAAAATCAATAAGAAACTGAAATTTAGCCCCATTTTCCTCCAAATTTGGGGTTGAGAAAATGGTGCAAAAACCCTTTCTAAATTTAGCACAAGACACCAACTCACCCACAATTGGCTTACGCACCTTCTCTCCTCTAGATCAAAGACCCTTATTATCATTTCTTCACATCCCTATCCATTTCTTTTTTCTGGTACAGCTTTTTCTGGGGGTTTCCAATTCGTAACCGGCCTCCATTTGGGTCCCCAGAAATTGCTTGAATTCCTCCATTACAGCCCATGCCAGCTACTTCTTGTTCAACACTACAGGTACTTCTTTACTTTTTTTCTTTTTAACTTTTTATCACTCATTCTCATATATTTCATGTTTGATGTAATGTCTCAATGGGATGTTGAAGTTTGAACAATATATATATATATATATATATATATATATATGAATACATATGAATATGGGTTTGTTCTTTTGGAGCATGGTTTTATATGTAGCTTTTATTCTTGAAGAAATTTAAACCAAGGATCATTTGGTTAATAATAATAATTACATTTTGTGAACAGTTTGACTTCTAGTTATTGAACATGAAAATATGGGACCTGTAACTCAGGTAGTCGTTATCCTCCCCGTTTTTTCACAAGAGAAAATGAGGATTAAATCATTTATAGTATGTCTTGAATTTTCACCTAGGTCAAAAGTGTCAGTAAATAAGACCTTTAAACAATGTGCAAACTTCTTGAGACTAGCTAGCTTTACCATTATTTACCTGAGATTTAAGTTTGCTGGAACTAGGCTCTATGTGAGAAAGAAAGGCATCCTAACTTTTAGCAATTTTCTATGGCGAATCTGGATTTGTCTCTCCTGTGAAGTTTGTTACACCATCAAACTTAGTCATGTAATTCTTGGTGTTCATTTTTTAAAAGATTTCTTGCTTGCTTAGTTCTTGTTATTGCACTAAAAAACCTTGTTCCCACTTGGATGATTGATGCCAACCAAAATTTTTTCCCATCACCCTAAACTAAATAAACCTTATGCCAGAAAGGAAAAAAGGAAAAGCTTCTTCTAGTAATAATAGTACATGAGCCTTCGCATACATGGAAGGTTCAAGTTCTATCCAAGCCGGTAGCACATAAAGAAACAAGTTGATCAAGAGTTCCTTGTAACTATATGTACAAGAAGCAATAAAAAGGGGAAAAAAGAAAAAAAAAAAAAAAGGTTTTTGCTCATACTTTTTAGTTTCACAAGTTTGTTTCAATCATTTCTTAACAGGGACCTTATGTTCATCTTTAAGTAACCAGCACATCTTCCGGCATAATGGGATTGAAATTTTCAAAGGAGCCACGAAAGGCTGAAAGCTCAGCTTTAATCCATACACAACTTCATTTTCTCAATTATCTTACAAAAAGTTCTTACATTCGTAACTTGGTATCCAAGAAAAGGAGGAGATTGCTTGTTGGTGGCTACGACCTCGATATGTCATATATCACAGAACGTATATTAGCAATGTCATTTCCAGCAGAACGCATGCGAGCAATGTACCGAAACCCCCTCTGGCAGGTCAAGTCTGTACTTGACATGAGACATCCAGGGCATTACAAGGTTATTTGTCTAAATCTTCTAATATCATGAAGTCTATCTATTTCAATTTTCTATATTATTCTTTTGGTAGTACATAGTAAACATTTAGTCTTTATCAAGTAGTTTTGCTTGAATTCCTTACGGTTTGAAACAGACCAGTTATGTGGTCATAGGCAGACAGCAAATGTTTCTTCTCACATAGTGTTTTATCCATATATCTAATTCTGTTGGATCGTATTTGCAGATATTTAATCTATGCATAGAAGAAGCATATGATCCATTGCACTTTCACGGCCGTGTGGAAAGATTTCCTTTTGACGACAATCATGTCCCATCTATACATATGATCAAACTTTTCTGTGAAAGTGTATATTCATGGCTGGTTCGTGACCCAAAAAACATTGCTGTTGTGCATTGTATGGTATGACTTCCAAGTTGTTCCATATAATCTGTTAATTTGGTGGCCTTCATGAGTCATCTTATACAAGGTTTATATTGTCCAGTCTTCTTCTGAACTCAAGTTTGGATATTATATCAAAACATTTGTATAGCTATACTTAAAAGTTGTAATATGATCAATCAAATATTCTTACTGAAAAATTAGGGATATTGTGGTCTCTCTTTATCTTTAACTTATGTAGGAATCTTGGTGAAAAATGATTGGAGAAACAAAAGTTCATTAATAGTAAAGATTTTCTTTTTTCATATCTGCTAATTTTGATGAATTACATTGCATTATCACCGATGTTTTTCACTTTATTTTCGCAGGCGGGTAAAGGTCGGACAGGCTTAATGGTATGTGCTTACCTTGTTTATTGTGGCATGTCAGCAGAAGAGGCTTTGCAGCTATATGCACATAAGCGGACTACTAATAATGAAGGAGTAAGTCATACAGCATAGATATAACAACTGTTCACCATTTCATTCAACTAATTCATATTCACTTAATTGGAGACGTTCAGAGGATACAAATTGTTACTTCTGAAAATAATGTGAAATTATCAAATTTAAAATCCAAAGTCCAAAGATTTAGCGAACTTGTTTGGGGTAACTTAGGACAAGGAAATGGATGCAATGAACATTTTTGTCTTAGTTTCAATTTTCAGTGGCAGCAGTGACCCAAATTGATATTTGATCTGATGAAAATTTTGATTCAGAGTCTATAGTCCTAAATTTCTACTTTCAAGCAGACTACTAGTTGCTGGGAACACGGTAGTTCTATTGTTTAAGTTTTACTAAACTAGTCATCCCATTTTTGCTCAACAGGTGTCTATACCAAGCCAACGTCGTTATGTTGGATACTGGGGCAAAATAGTTTCTTTTCCTAGAAGACATGAGAATGGACTACATGAGATCGGACCTCCTGATGTTATATTGCCTCAACAATGTATCAGGGAATTGCGGCGCATTAGACTTTACGACATAGTGAACACCAGTTCAGTTTTCTTTGTGCTTTCTGAACTACAAGAGGTAAATCTATTATCAAAGAATCAATTATGATTCTCCAAACATGGGATTCACAATTATCTTAAGTTCGTTAACAGGAGTGAATGATATGGTCAAGTGAGAAGTTTAATTCTTTTTCAAGAAAAAGATAAAGTATATTAATGATTTTATAATCTGTTTTTAACTTGAACCCGTTCTGTTATGGTCCCTATCGACAGATCGACACAACAAAATAAGTAGATGTAATGTAATATTTTTTCGATTTTCTTCCTTTATCTATCTTTAGAATTCAAGGAAAATAATTAGCACTCATTGAATAGAGAGAACCCTACAACCTCTAGAAGAGAAATATACTCTTCATTAACATCAAATTCCAGACATAATGCTTTTCTTTCCCCACAGCAGTAGATATGTACAAGGAGTAGGTAATTCTGCAATTTTCAGCATTACCTAAACTGCCCTTTTCTGAAGAACAGAGTTATTTCCTACTCTAATACACACTTAACATTTATTTTAACACACTTACATGATGATTACACAATAAAAATCACACTCGAATACACATGGGTATAGGCAGTTACACAGGATATTAAGTTTATTCCTTCTTTGGTAAAGGCAAGGAACTATTTTATTCTTAACATCACTTCCTCCATTGAATTGGCGCTTGTCCCAAGCGCAATATGAGGGTGGCGGATCTTCATATGCCCGGCTACTTCCCAAGAAGCATCTGTGAGAGAAAGGCCCTCCCAATGAATGAGAACTTCATGCTATTTGTTGTGAGTCCATGACGCCAACTGGGATTGGGCGTGAAGGATGAGGAATTCCATGATGAACAATAGGAAGATTGGGAGAGACACCTTGCTGTCCACGAAAAGCCTTGAGATAAGAGACATGGAAAACTAGACCCAATTAGAGGATGGTAATTTCAGCTTATAAGCGACTTCACCAATCCTCTATGTGATCTTGAAAGGCCCATAAAAGCAGGAAGACAGCTTCAGCACTCTCTTATTACCAAATGAAACCTGTCCATATGGTTAAGGCTTCTACAGAACCAAGTCACTCTCTCGGAAGACCACTTCCAATGGGCACTATCATAAATATGTTTCATCTTCTGCTCAGCTTGCCACAATTGAGCACGTAAAGTGTGAAGTACCTAGTCCCGGTCCTTACACTCATAATCAACAGCTTCCAACTTAGTATGTCCCAGATAATAACAGATGAGCCTTGGCTCCAATCTCCTATAAACAACCTCAAAGGAAGTGGCCCTAATAGAAGAGTGATTACTTTTATTATTAGCGTACTCAGCCCAAGAAATCCATTGAATCCACTACTTTGTGCGATCACTTGTGAAACAATGGAGATACATTTCAAGTGTTCTATTGATAACTTCCATTTGACAATTGGATTAAGGATGATATGCTGAACTGAAAGCTACCCTAGTTCCGCACAGTCAAAAATTCCTCCGGAAACAACCTTGTGAAAATTACATCTGGATCACTGACGATGTTTCTTGCAACCCATGCAATTTAAAGATGTGATCAAAGAAGAGTTTGGCTATATCGATCAGCCATATAAGATGAGAAAAGGAATAAGATGGACATATTTGGAGACTTGTCCACCAGCACAAACAAAA